CAAACAGCGCCTTCGGAAAGTATTCAGACCCCTTGACGTTTTCCACATTTTGTTACGTTACAGCCTTATTCTAAAATGGATTAAAATTATAATAAATCCTCAGCAATGTACACACAGTACCCCATAATGACAAAGCGAAAACAGGTTTTTAGAAATGTTTGCAAATGTATTACAAATAAAAAACAGAAATACCTTATTTACATAAGGATTCAGACCCTTTGCTATGAGACTCAAAATTGAGCTTAGGTGCATCCTGTTTCCATTGATCATCCTTGAGATGTTTCTACAACTTGATTGGAGTCCACCTGTGGTAAATTCCATTGATTGGACATGATTTGGAAAGGCACACACCTGTCTATATAAGGTTCCACAGTTAACAGTGCATGTCAGAGCAAAAACCAGGCCATTCGGTCGAAGAAATTGTCCGTAGAGCTCAAATACAGGATTGTGTCGAAGCACAGATCTGGGGAAGGGTACCAAAACATTTCTGCAGCATTGAATGTCCCCAAGAACACAGTGGCCTCCATCATTCTTAAATGGAAGAAGTTTGGAACCACCAAGACTCTTCCTAGAGCTGGCCGCCCGGCCAAACTGAGCAATCGGGGGAGAAGATGCCTTGGTCAGGGAGGTGACCAAGAACCCGATGGTCACTCTGACAGAGCTCTAGAGTTCCTCTGTGGAGATGGGAGAACCTTCCAGAAGGACAATCATCTCTGCAGCACTCCACCAATCAGGCCTTTATGGTAGTGGCCAGACGGAAGCCACTCCTCAGTAAACGGCACATGACAGCCCGCTTGGAGTTTGCCAAAAGGCACCTAAAGGACTCTCAGACTATGAGAAACAAGATTCTCTGATCTGATGAAACCAAGATTGAACTATTTGGCCTGAATGCCAAGCATCACGTCTGGAGGAAATCTGGCACCACCCCTACGGTGAAGCATGGTGGTGGCAGCATCATGCTGTGGGGATGTTTTTCAGTGGCAGGAACTGGGAGATTATTCAGGATCGAGGGAAAGATGAACGGAGCAAAGTACAGAGAGATCCTTGATAAAAACAAAGTACAGAGAGATCCTTGATAAAAACCTGCTCCAGAGCGCTCAGGACCTCAGACTGGGGCGAAGGTTCACCTTCTAACAGGACAATGACCCTAAGCACACAGCCAAGACAATGCAGGAGTGGCTTCGGGACAAGTCTCTGAATGTCCTTGAGTGGCCCAGCCAGAGCCCGGACTTGAACCTGATCGAACATCTCTGGAGAGACCTGAAAATAGCTGTGCAGCGACGCTCCCCATCCAACCTGACAGACCTTGAGAGGATCTGCAGAGAAGAATGTGAGAAACTCCCCAAATACAGGTGTGCCAAGCTTGTAGCGTCATACCCAAGAAGACTCAAGGCTGTAATCGCTGCCAAAGGTGCTTCAACGAAGTATTGAGTAAAGGGTCTGAATATTTATGTAAATGTGATATTTCCGTTTTTTATATTTAATAAATGTGCTACAATTTTCTAAAACCTGTTTTTTGCTTTTTCATTATGGGGTATTGTGAGTAGATTGCTGAGGGAAAAAAATTATTCATTCAATTTTAGAATAAGGCTGTAACGTAACAAAATGTGGAAATAGTCAAGGGGTCTGAATACTTTCCGAATGCACTGTATGTTTCACATATAGTGCATTAGGCTGTCATGCCTTTTACTGAGTGGCTTCTGTCTGGCCACTCTACCATAAAGGCCTGATTGGAGGAGTGCTGCAGAGATGGTCGTCCTTCTGGAAGGTTCTCCCATCTCCACAGAGGAACTCTGGAGCTCTGTCAGAGGGACCATCGGGTTCTTGGTCACCTTCGTGACCAAGGCCCTTCTCCCCCGATTGCGCAGGTGGACTCCAATCAAGTTGTAGAAACATCTCAAGGATGATCAATGAAAACAGGATGCACCTGACCTCAATTTCGAGTCTCATAGCAAAGGGTCTGCATATTTGTTTTTAATACATTTGCTAAAATTTCTAAAAACCTGTTTTCGCTTTCTCAGTTTGGGGTATTGTTGAGGGAAAACATGAATTTAATCCATTTTAGAATAAGGCTGTAATGTAACAAAGTGTGGAAAAATTCAAGGGGTCTGAATACTTTCCGAATGCACTGTATGTGACATTTTAGACACAAAAAAGGGGATGAGATTACGGTAAACATTATTAGGCCTATATTCAATCTAAAATGCAACATAGACACACACAGCTTAACACAGACACACAGCCTAACACTAAGTCTGAATTGTACCACAGAAGGCTACACTACTAGTCTAATAACATAGCTTACTTCTAAGGTAGACCTGTACCTGAGTTGGGTTATATTGTAATGTTATGTTTGGTGTTGATTAGTTATTCTAGTGATGGGAGGATAAACTGCACAGACGGAGTGAGCTGCCTGCTAGCCACCTGCACAGCAAGCTAGATGGGACACATTTTTAATTCACTGGTATTTAGCTATGTTTTTATGTAGGGCTGTAGCCACTGAATTCTGGTAGTTTACAATTCAAATAATAAAACCATCACACAAAATTCTCAGCTGGCACAATACAGCCACTACCCTTACCTCAGCGAACGGCGTTAAGCCAACAAACAGTCCTTCACACAGCTAGCTATCATCTCGTCATGAAAACTGGTGGGGACACGTGAATTTGGACCAATCCCTGACAAACCATACAACCAAAATGTAGCTATGAAGCTCTACTTTGTAACCTGTTTTTTGTCCCTGAAAACATCTGAATGACAGAAGCAAAGGAAAAACTCTTGACCTTATATTTCAGTCCAAGGACGTCTGATGACCATAAAACACCCTCAGGATTTTCCCATACTTGTTGACAATACAATGTCACATCGAGCTTACTCTGGTCGCAAAGAGCAAATATGAACACTGATTTCACGGGATTCATAAAAAAGACGCTCCCACAGAATTGAACGTTCAAATCAAGGCACTTACTTTACATTTGGGCTCATATTGCGTAAATATCATAACGTACAGTATTACGATTTTTAGACATGGGTTAACAACCTCCACATTCATGTTTTCAAATGATTTATTATGTATTTTGACAACCACATTATTGACATTTAGTGAAAATAGATTTGATCACTGCTGTTTTTTGTAGAATTATCACTTAGCGTCCATTGTTTGTCGCGTCACCTAACACCCTAATAAAACTGCACATTTTCTCTCAGCCTCATGGAAAAATGTTTTACAATTGCAGGAAGTTAGCTGCTTCCCACCCACCAACGAATTTATGGCTACGCCACTGTGTTCAACACCATAGTTCCCTCCAAGCTCGTCACCAAGCTTGGGACCCTGAGACTGAACACCTCCCTCTGCGACTGGATCCTGGACTTCCTTATGGGCCGACCCCAGGTGGTAAGAGTAGGCAACAACACCTCTGCCACGCTGACCCTCAAAACGAGGCCTCCCAGGGATGTGCGCTTAGCCCCCTCCTGTACTCCCTATTCATCCGTGACTGTGTGGCCACGCATGACTCCAAGTTCATCATCAAGTTTGCTGACGACCAATGTTGGGGGGGGGGGGTAACGCATTACAAGTAATCAGATTACTTTTATGAGTAACAGAGTAAAGTAACGTGTTACTTTTTCATTGTCAAACAATGCATGCGTTACTTTCAGAATCATATCTCTACTGGGCGAGTGTTTCCATGATCCAATCTCAACTTGTTTCCTCATTTAGTTGTTTGGAGAAATGTCATGACAGCTGTTGCCCATAGAAATGTATAGAGGGTGCACCTCTGATCTTTGCCATTGATCACTTCTGTGATAGCAAAGTGGGCTTTCCCGTCTAGTAGCAAGTGTGCCCTCTATACATCTCTATGGGTCCGTGTACATGCGGTCTTTAAACAGAACTGGCGGTTCGAGAGAAAGATTTTGATTGAAAATATATTAAATCTGTACAGATGTTTGGCTTACAATATTTATATATATATACATTTTTTTTAAACCTTTATTTAAACAGGGAGTTACATTGAGATTAAAAATCTATTTTACAAGAGCGCCCTGTACACATTACAATAAAAACAGAATATTTAAACAACATACACATATACACTACCAGTCAAAAATGTGGACACACCTACTCATTCAAGGGTTTTTCTTTATTTTTACAATTTTTTACATTGTAGAATAATAGTGAAGACATCAAAACTATAAAATAACACATTTGGAATCATGTAGTAAGCAAAAAAGTGTTAAACAAATCAAATTATATTTTATATTTGAGATTCTTCAAATAGTCACCCTTTGCCTTGATGACAGCTTTGCACACTCATTTGATGGTCTTGTAAGAAATTAAGATAATTACATTGTTATTGGCTTGGTTTGGATTATTGAAACAGACATTCCTGTGTTGTGATGTTTTGTCAATGTTTTCCTGTTATTATTTCATTTAGCTGTGGAGTAATGGATGTGTGTACTATTATTTAATTATTAGAATTTTACAATTTGACCTTGATGTTGGTTGCTAATGATTAAAATGATGTAAATCTTAATGAATAAAAAGTGAACTATTCAGACAATCTTGGAGATGAGAAGAAATTAATAAAAATAGTTGCAAATTATCCCTGACAGTGTTAGTGTTGTTTCTTTAAGTCTTGCACTGTTCCTGTCTTCCTCTCTACATGCATCCGATTGGAGTTTAGTATATTCAAAGTTGATTTGTTCTCTCTATGGTTTGTCTGAGGACCATGTATGACCTTCCACCAAACAAATGCGACCAATGGACACTTAAAAAACAACAACATTTTAGTAATTTAAAAGACACTCTTAACCAGAGCGTCTTGCAGTAGTACACGCATACATTTTTGAATTGGTCCCCAGTGGGAATCGAACCCACAAACCTAGCGTTGCAAGCACCATGCTCTATCAACTGAGCCACACAACTGAGAACAAACTACCTTTTATCCTAACCTAAATTGGTCATTTCCAGCTCTCCTCAACGACTGGAGGAGCCGAGGATTATGCTGTTGGGAAAGACCGGAGCTGGCAAGCGCAGTGCGGGCAACACCATCATGGGAGAAGATAGTTTCCGACATCCTGCCGTTCACACGCCGTAGCCAAACACTGCGAGGTCAACACCAAAATGATCATCAAGAAAATAGTTATCGTTACAGACACGCCAGGGATTTGTGACATGGACTGCGCCCCCGGACCTCACGCCTTCGTGCTGGTGTTGAGAGTCGGACGGTTCACCGAAGATAAGTCTGTGGTGAAGAACATAAGAAGCTGGTTTGGAGACGCTGTGTTAAACCATACTGTCCTGCTCTTCACCCATGGTAACGACCTAGAAGAAGGCATGACCATAAGGGACTATTCATCGGTCTTGAGATCACATATTGAGTGTCTCGGTGTCGGATACATTTGTACTCGGTCTTGACTCGGTCTCGGACAATGAGGACTCATAATGTCTTCCCGAGACCAGCGGAGTAAAAAAACGTATAATTATTCCATTCAGTCAGTGCGTAAAACCGCTTCGCCAGGCCAAATATATACACTTCTTTCTTGAAACATGAATATCTTAAAAGCCTTTATATCTATTATAGACATGTTTGCGCAGTGCGAACCTATAGGCCTTCAGTGTGTGACAGGTTCGTGATTCTGAAAGGACAGCAACCGTAATACCAGCGCACTCGTGTAGTTCAGTGCACTTTTTGTAAAACACGAAGGGCCAGTGGTGTACTGGAGGATATACGCAGGTATAAGCCGTATACCCACTTTTTTTTTTCAGTGGTCATTGCTTATACTCCCATCTTAATCCCTACTGATGCATATCAAAGTAGTGTAGTGGAGGTATACGACTTATCAATTACGTAGTACAATAGAGAAATCATGCACAAAGTAGCCTACACAATCGCAAAGCACGTGAAATATATTCACATGCGTGCCGCACACAGCCTAGTTTCAGCGGAATATCATCTGCAGGCAGCAAGAGTGTGCAGCTCTTAACTGGTTTTGACATCGGTAGGGTAGGAAAGACGTTTCAATTTATGATATCTACCAGTAAATGCTAACTAAGGCAACAATGGGTATGCAAACCAGGTATTGAAAAAGTTTAGTCCTAAGTGTTGGTTAGTAGGCTTTTTGTGATGCGCAATTGAAATCATGCGCTGATTGCATCAGGGGCTTCTAGATGGATGGGCCTGGGTGGACAGAGGCCCACCAACTGGGGAGCCAGGCCCTGACAGGCCCACCCAATCAGATTGATGTGGTTTAAGTATTGTTGTGGACATATTCCCCCCCCCCCAAAAAAAAAAAAAATTGTGTGATTTTGAGAGTGAAAATCTGAAAAATCTAAAGGAAAACTAAAGAAAACATAGGAAAACATAGGATTTTTCACACTGAGTGCCTTTCCTTCGTTTCGGAAATGGAAAAATTAGAGCATACCCACTTCTCCTGGCACCACTACACCACTGCATAGGGCCGATGGAAAGACAGCAGTCACATACAGCATGATGTTAAAGAATAAGCAGTCCATAAACTTGGACATAATAAGCCAGCAGGTCCCAATCATAAGAATACAAAAACACAACCATTATGCATTTCCCAATCGAAATGTACAAGTATTACTTGCCATTGCAAAAACATTTTACGTTTAGCACACCAAGTAACCAGTGACCTAAAGTTTAAAGTGGAACTGACAGCGTTTTAACTACTTTGCAGATATGAAACAAACAGACAATCATAATATCAGTAAAAAATATCTAATTCCCAGTTTATGCTTCAAAAAACAACTTTATAAGAGGTTTTAAAAATAGGTTATATTTGACTCAATGTTCCGTGACATACACTTAGGCATTGTTGGCAGAATAGATGGATGCAGTTCAATGCATGATTAATATAATTCACCAAAACATTTATTGGTAGTCCCAAAAATATTGCTATCATGTTGTAAATCACAGCTGGCCTGGTACAATGTTTGCTGCCTCCATTCGGGATACACTGTTTCAGTTTCAATGACTCAATATTCTGGACAAAAACGGACAAATGTAACTAAGGCTGGGAATGTCAATACAATCAAACTAGCAAGGGCAATGATCACAAGTCAGTCATAATGTCGCTAATAGGCTAGCATATCTATTTATGTAGCAAGCTAAAAACACGGAGCCTAACGTTAACTAGATAGCTAGCTAGCTGCTAGGAAGATGTCAGGCCATTGGAGGAGTGGGTGAGTGACTGACTATTTCCCCTCATATCGTTTTTTGGTGGCGATACACAGCTAGTGATGGTTAGCTAGCAAGAACTTGAACGACTGTTATACAGTTAGCATATCTCTTCCGTTCGCAAATTCACTCTGCCTATTACTGGGGATTTATTATTCTCCTAAATTGATGGGATGACTAACTTAGAAAGAATGCAGTCTTGACTGGGCTAATGTAGGCTGTGACACCTGGCAAGGCTGTGATTGATGTGAAGAGCTGCTTTAGGGGGTAAAAATAAGATAAGGATTGTGTCTTCAAATGCTAGACTATAATAGTTATTTGTGATCTGTGAGCCTTCCTTTGACATAGGAATGATGTCTAAGGGAGCTGGCTCTTCTCACTATGATAGGTTGTTATGATAATCTTGTGCCTGGCTGAAGTGTGTAACAAATGGTGCCGAGGAGATGAGAGCAACCCCTGAATCAACGGATTGGCTGAGAAAGTTTAAACCACGCTCAAGTCTTTACTCTAATTGGCCAGCAGAGAAGTGGGAAACTCCCTCTGTCAGAGTGTTTGGGTATTGTTTCTGGAACAATGTGTTAGTTGTCTGGGGTGTTCTGCGAGACATCTCAGAGAGCCCGTATATACGAAACATCATATTTACCATTGAAGGTTTTTGCATTAATTAAAATAACTAGTATACCTTAGAAGTCGTGTTGACCTCTTTTGTTCCTAATACCAGATTTGAATTGACGCGACTTTGACAATTGGTGACCCCGACGCGGTCTGGTAGAAGGGACTTCGCTGGATACTGTCCGGCCCATTTGGTCAACTCTTTAATCGAACCGTGTGTTTCACAAACTGGCCGGGCTTCTAAAAAGGTAAGCAGATACCTGTTGTTAAATAACCAAAGATCTACACATTGGCTTTATCCAAATTAATTTTGTGAAACACCTGTCTGATGTAAGTGAACTAAATTATGAAATTATTATGAGTAGATAAGCACAATATTGGGACGTGCAAACCTTTGCTAAATGTGATGTTTAAAACCATGGTACCAGAGTGTTGATTCTACTGGCAAGGTCCGCTAAGAGACGGCTAGGTTCAGGAGACAATGCTGACATCTACCGGCAAGGTCCGTAATTGCGACATACGGCTAAGGTTCGGAAGATATAGGGAATAATTGGTTTAAGTAATTGCTATCGGCAAGGTTCGTAACTACGACAGTACGACTAGGTTCGAAGAATTACACCGGCAAGGTCCGTAACTACGAGGATACGGCTAAGGTTCGGGAAATTTTAGATATAGGGAATAATTGGTTTAAGTAATTGCTATCGGCAAGGTTCGTAACTACGACAGTACGGCTAGGTTCGAAGAATTACACCGGCAAGGTCCGTAACTGAGATACGGCTAGGTTCGGAAGATTTTAGATAAATACTAGCGACTGGCAAGGTCCATAACTTCGAGGATATGGCTAGGTTCAGCGGAGTATTTTTTAAAGATAGTAGAAGAGGCTGTGTGCCCAAATAGATTGTGTGTGGAACATGGGTGTCATTTATGACTGTGTGACATATTTGACTGTATGATAGGATTATGACTGTGTATTGTGAGTGAGGGCGATAACTGTGTACTATTTTTGCTGTGTGATAACTGTATACTACGCTTAACTGTGTACCATTTTTGGCTGTGAATACAAATAATATTTTAAAACAGTAAATAATGAGAATTACAAATAGGAAATAAGGTTTAAATTGTGCAAACGTTAACAAAAGACACCCATAGGAGGTACTATAAAAAGTTAAACAGTGCGAGTGTTGTCGTATGCATGAAAGTGTGAATGATAAACCTGTATACCTTGATAGAAAACAAATTGGGAATCATAAGACGTCTGTGGCTGTCCAAACTGTATAATTTGGGAATAACTGTTGGATTTGTGGTTGCTTAAACCATATAACCCGTTAAAAACAATTGGGAACATAAAGCTAAAGTGATGAATTGTGTGACTGAACTAAAACGTTTGAACAGATACATTTGAAATATAACGTTTGGTGTTTGAAATAGCATAATACTGCTTTTGAATAGTTGTGTCGAAACAATTCGGTTTAGTATTTGATTTGAGGTTTGATGTTTGACATAGAATAATACTGGTTTTAGGTGCTTGGTTTGGGCTATTTGGTTTATTATTTGATTTAACGTTTGATGTTTGACCGTGCAAAATACTGGTTAAACAATTAGACCGAAATAATTCGGTTTATAAACGTGCACCAACTTTAACTAATTAGGTGGGAATTATTTGATTTAAATAAATGGACTGGAGTACTTTGAGTAACGGCGGAATATTGGAGGCGCGCTGGGACGAGAAGCAGCTCCTCACAGCTCCTCAAAAAGGTAGAGTTGCGAGGGGAGGGGCTGGAGAGAGCGAAAGTGTGGCTTTTGGAGCCATGAAAAGACTGGGAGATGGCTGGGAACGCATGTGGGTATCTGACGAGAGAGTGTTCTAAACTTGCTCACCGAGCGTAGACGTGCGTTGGGTGAGAAAGTAGAGAATATTTACATTTGCGTTTTTGGTAATTTGGCAGACGCTCTTGTCTAGAGCGATTTATGGGAGCAATTGGGGTTGAGTGCCTTGCTCGAGGGCACATCGGCAGATTTTTCGCCTGGTCGGCTCGGGGATTGTAACCGGCGACCTCTCGGTTGTTGGCGCGGCGCTATTGGTCACTAAAACTGCCAGCCGCCCCATATGAGTTTAAGATTGTGGCGTTGTTGGATAATGTGATGGTGGAATAACTAAGTAATGTTGTTTTAGACGTAATGTATAATATAGTACAAAACAAATAGAGGGTTAAATTGAACTAATTATCATGGTAGAGCTAACGTAGTACAGTGAGGGAACTTCATTTTGTGTCAGAGGGTAAGATGAGATCATTAATGGTACTATTAGTGGAAATCTATTTATCATTTCAAGGCATGGAGTAACAATCTGCATTTATGAGTGTAAATTCCACGGCTGATGTGTTGATTGAATGGGTACGATGGAGTATTTGGTTTGGTAATGTTGAATGGACTATTTGTAGCGTGTTTATGGGTTAAATAGAAAAACTAAATTATACAATAGGGAATCAAAAGGAGAGAGAGTTTTTTGCTGAGGTGAAAGCTACTGCGAATTTTCATTTGGTGACGTCACTTACTCTATGAGCTGGGGAGTAGTTACTTGAGAGCATCGCAGATGGTGTGAAGTGACTGGCGATGTCCCTGGTTCGAACACAGGTAGGGACAGTAGACAAAGCTTTCGCAGTGGGGCTATATACCTAAATTACTATGTGGATTGAGAAATGTGAAAGATTGAATTAGATAGCTTAAATAGAAGTATTCTAGAAAAGTCTATGAAAATATGTTATAAGGTTACCATGCGCTCTCCCCGAAGGAGCAAGGGGAGGGTGAGAGACAGTATAGTTCAGATGATAAGAATGTCATTAAGCGTATGCTGACCAACGATAGCAAGTATTTGTTTTATTAATTAGGGCATAATCAGAGAGAACAGTTAAATACATTGAATAGCGAACTGAAATGGGTTAGCGGGAAAATACAGAATAATTGGACGATTTTAAAACGATAATTTATTTTGGTTAGGATGAAAGTATGCATTGGCTGTTGTGCTGGGGAATAGCGCCAGCCTGTAGTGGGTTATGGATTTGTTACATAAACTTATATTTTAAATTAAAAGTGATGGAATAGGCTACAGTTATAACATTATCAGAAAAAAGACACAATTTAATGTGAAATAGTTATTACAAGTATTATTGATAGTTATTACAGTTATTATCATTGATCCAGTAATGATATAAGGATAGTAGAGGAAGGCAGGGGATTTAATCTCATTTAGGGAAGTTATATTAGGAAGAAAATACCATTAAATGAGGGAACATTTGATGTAACGTGATTGTATTGGCTAAAAACTCAAATATGACATTTACAGGGAGGACAGGAACAATAGAAGGGAAGACAGGTTTTCCTAGGGGGTTGAATAAATAATTGATAAATTGATCATTTGAGATGAGATCACCATGTAGCAGAGTTAGGGTAATCAATTAAATAATCATTGTATACTCGAGGAATTTTGAGTGGTTTAATGGATTGTTAGGAGGAATTAGAATGATACAAACAATTATTGATGGGTTAAGACTGGGAATATCTATCATGTTTTGGTGTGTACTACCATCTTTAGATTATAACTAGGAGAAAGAGATTTGCTCATCTCAGTTAGGCAGTATTTAGGTCATAAAAGTGAGCTATCAAATTGAGTGAGGCCTGGCTATTTGTGATTGTTGTTTTTTCAAATTGGGTTAAAATGGGTTCACAGAGCCAGAGGCTGTACAGAGAAAGGTGGAGCCCCCATGTTGCCCTAGTGAAAGAACATTCAGAGGAATGGTTAACACTAGGTAAATGGATAAAACAGGGGGAAAACATTACTGACTGGCAGAATACACCCAAATGGGGATCAGTATGGCCACTCCACTGGGAGATATAGAAGAAAGTTAAATTGGAGAGCAAAAACCCAGCCCAGTGTCCATCTGGAGATAAGTTTTTAACGGATGACAGGAAGAGATTTTCTTAACTCAGGAACAGGAGGCTGAGTTAGAAGCAATTCCGTTCAAATTATGGTCACAAGGAGAACAGATGTAGGACTAATTAAGGGGGTAGCTCCAGTACAAGTGATTCCTCGATTCGATAATAGACCATACCAAAAGCAATATACTATGAAACCAGAAGCAATAAAAGGGATAACACCTACATTTAAGCATTTACTTAAGGGAGGGGTGATAATTCCTGGAGATGAGGTACAATGAACTCTCCAATATTTCCTGTTAGAAAGGAGGCACCTAGCGCCGACTGGAGGATGGTCATGGACTTGCAGGGGGTTAGTAGAAATATCATTGCTGAAATACATTGCTGAACCAATTGAAACCAGAGAACTCCTATTTTACAGTGATAGATTTAGCTAATACTTTTTTCAGTATCCAAGTTCATCCGGATAGTCAGGGGTGGTTTGGCTTTACTTTTCAGGGAAGGAAATGGACTTAGGCTAGGATGCCTCAAGGCTACTCGGAAAGTCTTACAATCTTAGCCCAGGCTATAACTAAAAATTTGGGAAAGTTTGAACATAGGGAAGGACGCAAATGTTAGTTTATGTAGATGATATTCTATTGGCTAATCCCACTCAGGAGGGATGTAAGAGGGATACAATCCAATTGTTAACCTTCCTGGCAGAACAGGGACACAAAGTGAGCAAAAAGAAACTTCAACTTTGGTAGAGCGAGGTCATTTACCTAGGACACACTATAACACAGGAGGGGCGAATGTTAAAACTCATCCAGGAAAAACTGCTATATTTGAAGCGCCAGAAACCGTTAAAACAAAAAAACAAATGATGAGCTTATTGGTAATGATAAAGTGCTGTAAAGTTTGCGTACTCCATTATGTACTGCATACGAGTAAATTAAGTGATCTTATCTATGGGAAGGCAATGGTAGCCCATGGTAAAGTAATTTGGAACTCTAAGGAGGCATACATACATCAGGGATGTTATCCAAATGGTAGAGAGTTACGAGGGATATGACATTGGTAGTGATTTAAAGATGATGAAGTTTTTTGGTGGGCTATTAGATATAACTGGGTTAATCATGAACATAAAGATTTTTATTCTTTGTTGCTAGACAGAAGACTTAGGTGACTTAAAAAATAGACTTGTCATGTCCAACAATTAGTCTTCAGGTCAAGCCCGGGAGAGCCTGGGTAGAACAGAGTTTGAACTAAACATAAGTGTTTTTAGAAGATAAGAGATTGATTGATTGGATTACTAATTGATTCTGAACTGGATGAAAGTTGAATTTAACTGCCATTAAAAGACAAAGGAAGTGGGAGGGAGCAATAAAGAAGCAAAGATAATCCCAAAAATGAAAGGCATGGCAATAGGATGATAAATTACATAAGGAATGGTTTAGAAAGGTAATATTGACACATGGGCAAATCATGTGTCAAAAAGGGGGAGTGATAGGATTAAATAATAATGATAGGATTAAATAAATAAAATTACTTAAAAAGAAAAAAACAACAATAGAAATTGAGAGCTCAACATGTATGTGTGAAGATAGTGTTATTAACCACACCCGTATGTCAGAGGTTTTGTGCCCCACAGGTGAACTAAAGGAGAAGGTGACCCACTCTATCACACCAGGAGACTGGGTGTGGATTCCAGTCCCTAAAAGAAGAAAAACTGGAAGCAGGCTGTTGGGAAGGGCCCTATCAAGTCCTATTAGATCCATCTGGGTGCATGTCACCACACTGCAAAAAGGTAAACCCAGTTACACCTGATGAACAAACACAGAGTTAGGAGAAAGATCCGATCACCATTAGGGCTCGGGGGTTTGGCTCCTTAACGAAGATTCCCTTACCCTGTCTGATCATCCCTGTGTGAGTTTGTAGAAGGTGAAGTAATGGGTTGGCGTCTGACTGTTCTCAGGGCAAGGGTGGGGATTCAACAGGTCTCCTGACGGTAGGTAGCTGTCTGATTGTGGGGGCCATATTCCTAACACACTCAAACCCTTCTGATCAGCCAAAAGTAGTAGTAACCTAAAACAAGTTGATAAAATGATACCTGAGCACAGTCTATGAAGGCATAGGAGACAGCTAGACGTAGGGAAAGGGGAAGATTAGGGACTTTAGGGGAGGACATCACTGTATGTGTGTCGCCGTGTACATCCTGGGACTATGTAGTTGCTCATGTCGAGAGCGTGGGGGATATGTAAATCTCCATACACAGTTTGGGGGACAGGTGTAGTGTTGTGAGGGTAGGGAATTACCAGAAATGGCAGTGTGACCCATAGAAGGGTAGGTACTGTCTGAAAGTCTGAAGTACGCAAAAACAGGTTACAGACCTGACAAGTGAGATATCCTCTTCAACTGGGGCACCCTATAGAGTTAAACCTCTCTGAGGGAGGTAGTGAGACAGTGCAACCTATAGACCTGAAGAAAGTAGGACAGGTGGAGACGGGGGTTGTAGGAATCTTGACCGGTGGTTGGAATGGATTTAGTATACGGCAAGAAACTAGGTCTAAAGAGGACTGTTATGCCTGTGGGACAGCCAAACCAAGGTTAACAACTACTCCGTTCCCCTTGACAGGCTTTGACTCTCTGTCAGGTTTATCCTCCATACAAGCCACCTGGGAATGTGGTGAAAGAGTCTTGTAGTAACTTGAACTATCAGTATCCCCCGATAACAAAGTCATTCCGACCTAGGTTGCCTACGTTTGAAGTCTCAGGGGATTCTAATTGTTATTCTAGGACTAGTAAGATAGGATACAGAGTAGGGCATCTTAGCTCTGCTCCTACACAGAGAATATCACAACTGAAAGAGAACATGACTAATCTCTCCTCTTTGTTGCAGCCAGAGGATTGTAGGAACTAAAACCAGGCCCGTGCTGACATCTGATGGTTGTGTGGTGATAACTGATTGTGAACTCAACTACATATGTAAACAATCAAACGTGTCAGAGACTGGTGAGTTGTCAAGTAGAAAGTAGGACCTCCTCCCGGGATCCTTTGATGAAAGGATCCTGTGATGGGATAGGAGTACCTCGAGGGGTTCCAGAAAAATTCAAAGCTAGGAATCAGATCGCAGCTGAGTTTGAATCAAGTCTTTTTTGGTGGTCAACAATTAATAAAAACGTAGATTGGATAAATTATATTTACTATAACCAGCAAAGATTTATAAACCACACTTGTGATGCAATAAAGGGATTAGATGAGCAGACAGTGGCAACTATCTTAATGACAAGGCAGAATAGAATAGCTTTAGATATGCTTTTGGCTGAGAGGGGCGGAGTTTGTGTTCTGTTTGGATCTATGTGCTGTATTTTCATCCTCAAACAATATAGCACCGGACGGGTCAGTGACAAAAGAGCTTCAGGGGAGTAACTACACTGACGAACAAACTGGCTGAGAGATCTGATATTGATAGCTCCATAAACGGTTGGTTTGATAACATATTTGATAAATGGAAAACTATTGTTGTAACTATTCTGGGTGAAGTTATAGCCTCTATGGGTATACTTGTACTTTATGGATGTTGTCTTATTTCCTGTGTCTGAGGTTTGGTGAGAAAGGAGATGGAGAAGGTGATTTCCCACAGATGGTGAGATAAGGCCCAATCCTGGACTCCAACCTAGGAATGGAGGATATGACCTACCAGGCTTGGTGGAGTGACACTAGAGGGTGTCTAAAGGGGGCCAAAATATACTTCTCTGTTTGTGTTTTATGTTTTAATAGTCTTATGTTTTGTGTTCTATTAATCCTGTGTTTTATGTTTTATTAATCAAGTTAACCATGTGAATGTTTGTCTTTTCTTATGTGATGGTTTGAAGTTCCTTGGTGACTGGTAACAATTTGCAAGTGGGGTGTAGATGGACTGAGGGTTTGAATTTTTTAGTATCATTATGGCCTATTAATAAAAGTGTGATTTTTTGTTTGTATTGTATTATAATGAATGACAATCTGTGTTTTCTTATTTTTTGAATCACACCTTATGAGGTGTGAAAAGGGGGACTATTGGGGATGTATTATTCTCCTAAATTGATGGGATGACTAACTTAGAAAGAATGCAGTCTTGACTGGGCTAATGTAGGCTGTGACACCTGACAAGGCTGTGATTGATGTGAAGAGCTGCTTTAGGGGGTAAAAATAAGATAAGGATTGTGTCTTCAAATGCTAGACTATAATAGTTATTTGTGATCTGTGAGCCTTCCTTTGACATAGGAATGATGTCTAAGGGAGCTGGCTCTTCTCACTATGATAGGTTGTTATGATAATCTTGTGCCTGGCTGAAGTGTGTAACAAATGGTGCCGAGGAGATGAGAGCAACCCCTGAATCAACGGATTGGCTGAGAAAGTTTAAACCACGCTCAAGTCTTTACTCTAATTGGCCAGCAGAGAAGTGGGAAACTCCCTCTGTCAGAGTGTTTGGGTATTGTTTCTGGAACAATGTGTTAGTTGTCTGGGGTGTTCTGCGAGACATCTCAGAGAGCCCGTATATACGAAACATCATATTTACCATTGAAGGTTTTTGCATTAATTAAAATAACTAGTATACCTTAGAAGTCGTGTTGACCTCTTTTGTTCCTAATACCAGATTTGAATTGACGCGACTTTGACACTATCAACTCTGATTTGAGAGCACTGTCGTCTGAGTGTGCCAGAGTGCAGAACAACTGATCAATTTACGAACGTGCAACACCTGCTGAATATGACCGGTGTCAGTAAACATAAGCAAAAAGTAATAGTTAGTCAAGAACGCTCTAGATAACATGTAAACAGCCTAACCAGCTCTGCTATGGTGAGTAAAATGGTCAGAGTGTAGCTGGAAGTAGCTAGCTAGCAAGCTAGCCAACATTAGCCAGTTAGCTTGGGTGCTTGGTTGGGACAAGCATGCATTGGCAGTCAAGCTACAGAAGGACGAGGAGGCTACAATTCCCCATCATTTATCAGTGACATTTTTATGGCCAACTTGCTGAAAACATTTGAGAGGGTGTCGTATCGGGTGAATGGTGGCAATTATTGCTGATAAACAAAGGAGTCCGCTCATACTGAACTTTGATCATAAGGTTTATTCAGATCACAAGCTTCAGCATAAGTGACAGGTGACATGCCCACCCGGAGAGCGACGCCTCAGAATGGCCGCTCTGCCTTCTCCTTCGTTTAGCCCCTACTTATAAACAATGCAAAAAGATGGGCTCCCTCTTCTGGCCAATCACCAGTCTCCCCTGTCTACAACACACTTCCTGTCTGTTGTATGTGGCGTTACACTAAAACATTCCCTCTTGATACTAAAATCAACATTCTTTCAGTTCCACTTAAAAACATTTAACAAAAGCATAATCCCAATACACGACATTTCCCCCCTTCGAGACGAACAGTCTCGAAAACAAACAGAATAGGATTATGACAAGTAACAATTTATCTTATTGAGTATCTTTAACATTAAACCAAAAACATTCTTCTCTAGAGTGTAAATACCTTTCTATGAAATAACTGTTTATGAAGTGTGAATACATTACTATGAAATATGAACAAATCTTTATGGAGTGTAAGAGCGAAAAACTGTCCGGCAACCTTCGTTCCAAATCCATCCATCAATCAAGACAGTAAAATTCTCTCACGGTCCCTCTGCCCCAGGCAACCACCTAGATACTCCCAAATAAACTCATAAACCATGTAAATGCATTTGAAACTATGATGCAATTAAATACACATGTAAGCCCCTGCAAACAAAATCCTATCCAAAAAATATCCACTCTAAGGCTGGTCAACCCATTGGACCCTATAGTGGACCTCTCCCTGCCTAGACTCCCTGTCCCTAAGCATTCACGAAATAAACAAAAACATCTAAGATCCTCACATGTATTCAATAACATCAAACATCATTCTACAAAAATGAATACCTAAGAATATGACACAATTATGTATTATACATCAAATATGTCTATATTTCATTGCAGACACTGGAATGTAGCCCACTACACTTCATCTCCCCGTAGTCTCCTCTTCCAATGGATTGTTGATGATGGAATCGGAATCTTTCCACCCCTCCTTGTTTCATCTCCTCCAGTCATATTGTCCTTTTATATTGTCCTTGTTTGAGTATTTCAATCTCCACATGTCCCCCAAATGCTTCTGGAAGAAAAGGAAAGACCAAACAGTATCTTTTGCAAAACAACACTTTCAAATTAAACATCAAGATCAACTAAGAATATAAAAATGATATATAAATGATGCATGAATCACATTAATGATAGAATAATGAACTAGGATAATTATTCATTCATACACTTCCCCCCTTTGATTCATAAAATCATACCAAAATCACCCTAATATTGAAAAAAATTGAAAAATGATCAAATAATCAAAAAGGATATTTATCTATTCAGTTCTACTTGTCCATCTTCCTCCAGATCAGGAACAGTCAACACCGGTATCTGAGTGTTGTCTCCAGGCATCACTCTCCAACCTATCTCAATATCATAGCTTTCTCAAAGGTCAGTAACAAATTACAAACATCACACACAGTGCTATCAAAGCTGCCATTAAATGTAACCCATCACTGCCCCTACTGGCCTACCTGATCTTGCAACCAAGTCTTCGCTGACTTCCGCTCCTTCAGATCTACTAAATGCATCCCTTATATTCTTCAATGCATATATAACCCTAGTGATAATATCTGAGCTATCTGGACTCAAAGTATAACTAACATTATCAATAGGATCTTCCCAAATGTTACACCATACCATGGAAAAAGTCCCTAATCTTCTCTCTTAGATTTATCCTTCAATGATAGGCTTGAAGACTATGACATGTAGCCATGTCTCTTTTCATCCTATTTCCAACCCTAGATTTATCTGTGTCCGGTGGTACCCCTCTTTTAATGGTAGAAACCTCATATGGAAGCTTCAACGTCGACATGTAACAACATCCTGTCCATCCATAGGGTAAGAATATATATGCTTTATCACCACAAACCCTCAAAATATCTCTAAAATGTCCCATAGTCACATTGTCAGGCAAAAGCTAATCTTTTAACCATCAAAGTCCTGCTCTTCTTACTACCTGGTACATAAAAAGTAACATATTTCTCATTACTACCCTTAAGGTCATGCATACCCAAAGTTATCATATAACATCACAATCTGATATTCCCATAAACATACCCCTTACCTCATATGTTTTATTAGAACCAAACAACTTTTAGCCCTCAATGGTTACACCTCAAATGCTTCAGGGTTTGCTGTTACCTGATTTTCTTTCCCATCTAACAAATGCACACAAGTTAATTCACTTAACCCAATACCACCTAACCCTAGTCTTAAACAAATGTTTTGACAACGACATTATTTTATCTGTTACTGATTGTTGTTGATACCACCGTCATGACAAAGCATAAGATTGACACATACTTGATAGAGGTCGAACCCCACGTGTCTAACATGTTTGGTGCTGGAATTCTCACCAGACATGGACCCTCAAGATTCCTCACTGATCTTACAGAATGAGCTGCTGGAACCTGCCCATCTATCTCTAATTTTCACAACAGAAGAATCAAACCACTCCCTTTAGTTTCTCTCTTCCCTAACGAGCGGTACTGATCAGATACCTCTCCTTGTCTGTCATTAAAATCAAAGACCTCATCCTGTACCTCCATGATGAATCTATATTCTCTCTACTACTATCTGTTCTCCTATTTTAATCCTATTCGTACTATCATTGACAGCACTCTCCATCCGTAACATAAACCTGAGTCCTTCTTGCTACCCCTTTAATTTCAGAAAAGTTGTTGTCGGTGTCATACTTCCTACATTTGCTATTGCCATCGTATCATTAATCCCTTCCAAAGTTACCATTAAAGTAGTTGATTTAGCTGATGTATTAACCTTAATTATTTCTAGTGGCAAAGTTACCAATATCCTATGTGCATTATTTACTGTTGGAGTGACTACTGTAACATATTCTTCCTGACCTCCTTTGATTAGGTGCAACAGCTTCTACTCCTGGTCCTGATAACAATACTTATTCTCCATAATTATCTCTCCATGTGGGAGGAACGTCCCCATCCTAACCCTAATAAGTATTTTTCCTCTAAAATTGGTGCTGGAGCTATTGGTTCCCTTATAATCAAATGCGATATATTTATGGCTTTAATAACTATCAATGTTGAAAGAGTTAAATTGCTTCTCACTGTTGTTTTAATAGACTGAAGTGTTAATGTCCTTATTGTTACTTCATCCATTTTCCCCAAAGAAAAGTTGTCTTTGCTTGTACTTCCATCTATCACCACTAGTGTCACTTTTTCCCAACTCTCAGTCCTATCTCTAATCCCTGACTTTCAAACTTTTGATTATAAAAAATACACCTATAATTACCTTGATCTCCCTACTCTAAAGTGTCCTTCACCACTGTTCTCTCTCTCTTACTACTAACTTTGAAACTTAGCTTACTGTCTTAGAGTTCCTTCAACCTAGTTCTCCTAACTTTTTAATCTAATCTTTTCTCCTAACCTTTAAAAACCTTTTCCCACTGATTTATTCACAAAATCCCTTTACCACCAAATTTTAGAATATGTGATTGGGAAAGTCCCCACCTGCTTCTGACTTCTTTACACACAGACTTGGCAAACGACTAAACACCTTTTAGCCTAGCCTGAAATCTCTTGGTGTAAGAATGTAACCCAGAATAACAGTCACCCCTTTTAACTTTATTTTTCAGACAGATTGTCTAATAGGCAGTCTAATAGATTATCATCCTTCCTATGATATGATCTTTTTAAGCCAATATGATTCCCAAAAACCCTATTCTCAAAATCCTCTACCAGACAGTCGTCTAGTGTACATCTTATTGTACAATTCAATTTAAACAATGCATCTCTTCCCAACACTGCAATAGGTATATGCTCTAATATTAGTATGTCTATTTTAATTTCTCCTTGATTTTTTATAGCATAGCTCAATTGGTTCCCTAAGAGTAATTAACTGTTTTACTACCTCAACTCCCTATCCTAATTAGTTCATTTTACATAGTGAGATGTTTAACCTCTTTAGGCTGAACACAGATAAGTTTTTCCACTATTCACTATCACTTCTCATAGTCCTCTGGTTTTTACTTCAATTGTTAGATATTTTCTTATTCTCTAATCGATACTATCAGCTGACACCCCCCTTCGTATCTTCTAGGCACTCTAGAATCCTTAGGATTCACCTGGAGAACAGGTGATCTTGACTGGCCCCTGTATCTTCCTTAAAAATGTTCTCTGTTGTTTCCTCCTGACTTGTTGCACTCACAGGTAAAGTGACCAACCTGTCCACAATTATAACAGTCTTCTGAAAGTTGCTGGAAGTGTAGCTGAAATCTTCCTCCTCCTTCTAAGCCTTCTCGTCCTCTTCCTCTCCAATTCTGTGTCTGTCCAGAAACTGGCTGTGGATATGGAACACCTGGTACCCCCCTTGGCTGGTACAATTGCATTTGATATTGTTCAGTTGAAGCTGTAACAGTGATTGTTGATTTGGTTCACTCTGATTCTTCATAACCAAAGCTTCTCTTCTCCTTCTTCTTCTCCAATTCTTGGGATCCTTTTCTCAGCAGTTTCTCCTCTTCTGTATCTTCAGCTGTATTACTTCTTCTAAACTATTTGCTTTATCCAGGCATGATAAACATCGGTCTATATCTCTATTTCTTCTTTGCTAGTCATTGTAGGATAACCTCCTTTTGAATACACAGCACCTTTAGTCTCCTCTTTATCGCTGTCTTCATCTGAACTCGAACCTCATTCTTCTCTTAGTTTCCAGACATCTCGGTTTTTCTTCCTTCTGGAGTTTTGGATTCATCTTTCTTGTCGTTTCTGCTTGTCCTCTATCTATTATTCATCTTCATCTCTGATGCAACAATCACCCTCCTGGATGATCCCTGGAAGCTGAGGATAAACATCCCTAAGCTCTACTTCCTTCTCGTAAGGTGGGTGTCTTTTCGCTGAATCCGTATGTGAGAAAGGTGTACTAACTTCTGCCATTAGTTTTTCTGTCGCCTTTCCTATATCTTTGTTTATCTTATCGCTGGAATCTTTTATCAGTTTTTGTTTGAGAATGAAGGGCAACTTTTGTTTGACTTGCCGGATAACCTAGCAATACTTTAGTTAAAGGATTACCATTTTGTATTATATCAACCGGTGTAATGACTTTTTATAGCCTTGATGTCGTTTTTCCCCATTGTAACAACCCTTTTATATTCCTTTATCATGAATTATCTTATTTTAGACTATATAGCCTATGGCTTCCCCCCTTCAATTATTAATATAACCCAAACAACCCAAAAAAAAAAAAAACATTTTTATTTTATTTTAATCGTCTTCTAATTCAATTTATTATAATCCGTCAACATATCTCTCTCATTTATCAATTCAATAGGTCACAAAACAAGTTTCATCTTTAACCAACCGCCGCTTTACAACTAGAATACTCGTGTCCAAATATCTCTTTGTCTGTGTGTTTCTCTGTCTCCCCCTGCAGCCCCCAACAGAAATATGACCCATTAGCAAAAACGTGTTGTAGTTTAGTACCGTAAACCAAAACGTGTCCTAATCTCGTGCCATAAACTCCAACTCCCACGTTTTGTAGTGTAGTGTCATAAAATTAAACGCATGCGCAAATGCATTCAATGATACGATTCCCAGACAATAGAACGATAGCATTACGCTACAGCTTCACTATTTTATACCTTATACTCACACAATTACACATAACAGAGCTCACATTTGCGTAGAACTTTGAATTCTACACACACATACATATTTTAAGAGGCTTAGTCCATCGCAATGGGACCTCTAAGGATACGTTAGCATGTAACACACAACACAATTAGCATTTAGCATTAGCCGCTATGTACCATGTAGCATGAAACCCAATCCAGCATTTAGAATTAGCCTTAGCCTTTAGCTAACTGCGGCCTACCACGCCCTAAGTAACCTTGCATTGTGCCCAAATCATTGTCCATATATCACCTGCTAACTTTATGGTGCCGTAAGTTCTGGATAATCATATGAGCGGTTACCCCAAACGAATAATCAGTCGACTATAAGATGAGCATAACATACATATCATCGTCCACCTCATGGTTCCCAGAACCAACCTGACACCACCCTAGTGCGTTGCCAGGATTTTATGGCCCACTCCTAAAGAGTCGCCTCGTTTCGAGGTCTTTCCAGATTCACAATGCTCTAATATTGCATATACGTATCTACCTTACTTTATTCTGCCAATATCTGCCGTTAATATCTGCCTTCAATTGCTGTACAATTTTAGAATAATTATTCCCAGACTCCTAGTCAACAGCAATAACGCCACACGAGGCACGGTCGTAATGGTACATTCCTCCAGTGTACAATCACATAGCATCCAACCTAACAAGCTCCAAAGCGGTAAGAAAAACTCACCCTTGTCTGGCCATGGCTTCAAAGCGAGTTAGCCTGGCGGCTGAATGAAACAAAGGAGATTTGCAGACCAGCCCCACGTTGGGCGCCATTTGTCGTATCGGGTGAATGGTGGCAATTTTTGCTGATAAACAAAGGAGTCCGCTCATACTGAACTTTGATCATAAGGTTTATTCAGATCACAAGCTTCAGCATAAGTGACAGGTGACATGCCCACCCGGAGAGCGACGCCTCAGAATGGCCGCTCTGCCTTCTCCTTCGTTTAGCCCCTACTTATAAACAATGCAAAAAGATGGGCTCCCTCTTCTGGCCAATCACCAGTCTCCCCTGTCTACAACATACTTCCTGTCTGTTGTATGTGGCGTTACACTAAAACATTCCCTCTTGATACTAAAATCAACATTCTTTCAGTTCCACTTAAAAACATTTAACAAAAGCATAATCCCAATACACGACAAGGGTTTATGCAATGTTCCTTTGTTAGATTTTAGCTCATCGTGCTCTGGCTAACATTAGTTGTTTATCTTGTTGTTGTTAATGTGCATAACTGAGGGAGAGAGAGCCTACCATTTCATGGTTGTTTGATCAATAGGACTGTAAAGTTCCCAAATGTAAGAGGACATATTTGCAGAAATCCATTCCGGTGTATTTTTCTGGCTTTTGGTGAATACATTTTAATGATCTAAAGTCGCGCTGATGCAACTACCTGTAAACACACAGTCCAGTTCAAAGTGAATGCCCTGTGGCAAATGGCTTGTTTATAGCACACTGGTCTGTGTAGACTCCAGTTCTGGACAAGACAGATGTTTCTATTCGTTTTTATTTACTGTAGTGTCTATTAATTGTCTAAACGCACGGCCGCTTTCCCATTCTATATTGCTATAGAATTTTCACAAATGCCTTAGTATACATAATTCCCAAACATTCTAACAATTTATGAAAACGTGAAAATTGACATATCTAAGTGGTCACTTGTCAGATATGTAAAAAAATATATGTCATATTCTTCCTGGGGGTGTATATGAACAGATTTTAATAAGATTTCATGTTGCTAAAATGCTGTCAGTTCCACTTTAAATGCAACAATGTTTCACCCACATAAGTTATTTGCAAAGCGATTGCTAACAACACCAAGCATAATAAATGCATAAAATAAAGCATGCAATAAAAAACACAGCTCCACTCACCAGATGATGATCATTTGAAACTTAACTTCTTGTTGAAAGTTATTCTTGAAAAGGAGAAGCTAACAAATTAGCAACAAGATCCTCTTTGATAACACCTGCTGCAGCCGCTGCAAACTACCCGAAAACAAAAGCTAGCTAGCTAGACCATGGGAAAACTACTGCTTGCTATTGTGGAGTGACCAGTTCGCCTTCAAGAAGGCCTAAGTTTCCATATGTTTTTGTAAAAATGGTCCCACTCATTAAGTCAAAATGTGATTGGTTGATTCCACTGCCACTCCAACATTTAGCCATAATATACTTCAATGGCAGATGCATTTATCTAGGTTCTGATGGCCTAGCCATTGGCTGATTTAGCTAGCTAGATTTATCTCCCCAGAGACCAGCAAAGAAAAATCCTGATTGGAACTTTTTTTTTGCTATTCAGTGTTAACACTTTCCTTTCCAACAAAAACTGAAGCGATTAAATCAGAACATAGTTGAAAATAATAATATCATTATCATTATTACTATATTATTTTAATCATTATTTTACAAATCCTTAGCCCTTCTCTGAAGGCATAAAAGACCCATTGTTCCCCACTGTATTTGGGTTAGTAATAATTTGTAGAGTGGCTCTATTTTCCATCAGCATGCATTTCTTCACTATTTAGAATGTCTAAAGAATCCATATGTTGTTCTGAAATATGAACACATAAATACTGGACATTGTGAAGTGTTATTATGATGGTAATTTGACAACATTACAATCATGGTATTGAATTGGACTCGCATTTTTCTGGTCTCAGTCTTGACTTGGTCTCGGACCCCTTGTTCCCCTCCCGGTCTCGACTCGGTCTCACCCACCCCCCGCCCCCCCCCCCTCTGGTCTTGGTCTTGACTCGGACTCGATTTGCTCAGATCTTGGTCTTGAATCGGTCTCGCTTTAGGTGGTCTCGAACACAACACTGCCAAAAATAGAGAAGAAGTTTAGGCCCTGTACACAGCAGAGGACCTTGTTCCAGGTGCTGACTCTGGTTGGAACAACTGAGTATTCAAACACGTAAAAAATAAAATATTATTAGAAAGACAATGATCAGCCTTGATTCTTTTATTTTCCCCCTCAAAAATGATCTAGACAAGGTAAATTGTTGTCTCTCCAAGTGCGTCGTTTTTGTATGTGTTTTGGATAGTAGGTAAACATACTGTACTAGATTCCATCAGTAGAGTCCATTAAATATAATGTAATGTTTGATAATACCACAAGAGAGCAATGTGGTCTTTGCAGAATCTCATACGCTCTCCAGTGCCTGGCAGGCCACTGCTGGAGAGGCTTTCGGAAAGCTCCCAGGTCTTTTGAGTTGAATCTGTGCCTGAAATTCAATACTTGACCGAGGGACCTTATAGATAGATGTATGTATGGGGGATAGAGGAGAAGGGGTAGTCATTAAAAACCATGTCAACCCCTATTATTTCACACAGAGTGAGTCCATATAACTTATTATGTGATTTGTTAAGCCACATTTTACTTCTGAACTAATTTAGGCTTGCCTAAACAAAGACGATGAATATTTATGCAACGACTATATTTTTAGTTATTACATTTTTATTAATTTGTATAATTTTCTTGTCACTTTGACATTATGGAGCATTTTGTGTAGGCCAATGACAAAAAATTACAATTATATATATTTAAATCCCACTTTGTAATGTAACAAAATGTGAATAAAATGGTGTGTAGACTTTCTATAGGCACTGTAAGTATTCTTATATGGGTACTCCTGAAACCTATAAGTAACATATACGTGGTATACTATATGTCTTATAAGAAGTAGGCCACAATCATACACATGCATAAAGAGCCATATGTTTTACTTACACTACCGGTCAAAAGTTTTAGAACACCTACTCATTCAAGGGTTTTTCTTTATTTTTACTATTTTCTACATTGTAGAATAAAGTGAAGACATCAAAACTATGAAATAACACATATGGAATCATGTAGTAACCAAAAAAGTGTTAAACAAATCAAAATATATTTTATATTTGAGATTCTTCAAATAGCCACCCTTTGCCCTGATGACAGCTTTGTTATATTGATAGGTGCGTGAATTGGACCATATTGCTGTCCTGCCTGAGTACTTTTTGGTGCCAGGGAAAATGTATGGAAGTAAAAGGTACATATATTCTTTAGGAATCTAATGGAGTAAAAGTCAAAGTTGTCAAAAATATAAGTAATAAAGTAAGTACAGATACCCCAAAAAACTACTTAAGTATTATTTCAAAGTATTTTTACTTAGATAATTTACAACACTGCATATCTGTAAGAAACATTAATTACTGTATATACGAATCATACATTTGTCTGTTTTCTTAGGAATTAGGCTATTTATAATTGACTTTATAAACTTGGTATAAATCCTGTCCATTTGGGATATAGTCAGTGCCTTTTGGGGGCCTTAAGTGAGATTTGATCAGGGGCCCCCACACCTCACGGGTAGAACATCTTAGTTGTATTGTGGCACACCTCGTTTGTCAGTGGCGGACGGCTCGCTTGGGTCTCTCTGAGCTCTTCCGTTGTCTGTTGTCATCCACAACACACTCTTGCAGATACTACATTCTTCATCGTCTCTGTGTCCTCCAGCAAAGTGGAGAGAACAAAGAGAGGGAAGAAAAGAGGGATGGGGGGTTCAAATTTACAGGCCGTGCTGGGGGACATGATACCTGTGCTGAAAGGCAAGTGGGCAGGCATCACCGCAGACATCTACATGGGCCTCTGCCACTACTTCTTGCAGTACTTGAGGAACACCTTGTTTCCATAAACCATTCCATAGACATTCCCTTCCTAAACCAGACTATAGAGTCTCCTCTCCTCTCTCTCTCTCTCTCTCTCTCTCTCTCTATCTCTCTCTCTCTCCTCTCTCTCTCTCTCTCTGCTCTCTCTCTATCTCTCTCTCTCTCTCTCTCTCTCTCTCTCTCTCTCTCTCTCTCTCTCTCTCTCTATCTCTCTCTCTCTTGGTAAAGTAGACAGTCGACATGGTTTATACTCTATAGTGCCTTCTCAACAGATTACTGTTGTTAGAGGACTGACTGTGATAGAAAGTAGTGCTATAGATCTTAATTCCCATCCTCATTTAGAAAAACTGTATAATTTGTAACAATGTAAAGATATTAAAGCACATTGATTACTATGCTAGTAGTTCTTGCATAAGCCAAATGTTATGTGTGGGTTCCCGTAGTTTAATCCAGTAAAAGTACTTTCTGTAGTGCATCTTTCAGCCCATCTGCTGCCTGACACCCAGTCATTTATCCACTTTATTTAGGGCTACTCAATATCTTTAATAGCATAGGTCTATCATGCAAACATGTCATGCAAACAAACACTTCTTAATCATTGCCTCAGACCACTCGTAGAACAGTTAAGTGCGTCATTAGATGACTTTTTGCCCTCATCCTTGCTTTCCCTTGCTTCGCTTGTTTGTAAAATTGCAATCTTCGTATTTATTTTCAACTATGAAGTTATCTGCAGTCACAGAGACACGATAAACATTTTGATTCAATGTTTAGCTGAGATCTAATGTGTGTAAGTGACACCGGACGGCAAAACATCATCTAACGAAGCTCTTATCTGTTCTATGAGTGGTCTGAGGCAGTCGTTTACTTACCAGCGTTTTCAAGTACAACTTTAGCAACAATGGTTTTGCGAAACAACTCAGAGATATAACGATGCTCCTCCAAAGGGTTTAACGTTGAATTTAGCCTTAAAGCGCCAATCAGCAATGAAAACAATAACAAAGCATTTCCCCGCCACTATATCAGTAAAAAGCTGAGGGATGGGGCTAGAGAAATGTAACCACGTTCAAATTCATAGACAGAGCTATGGATGCAAGGTCTGACCATTCATGATATTAAAATTATAGTTTTAACCATGTGTTTATTTATTTTTATTTTTTCTACATTGATTTTGTTTACAAACATTGGAGTAAAACAAGCTTTTATTTTGGGTTCTGGTGGGGTACGATAGTTGAACTAAGCTCATGAGGCATTTGTAAGTTATATTCTTCAAAAATCAATGGGTACATACAGTATCATACATTTATAAGTCTAAAATGTAGCAACTGCAGATTGCCTCTTTAAGATGATTATGGGAAACAGGTTGTCTTGTTTCTAATCTCATACCCAGCCAGCTCTCTCTCAAACCGAATATGCAGTAGCAATTGAGCCTGGAGACGAGGTTACCTTGTTTCATGTAATAGCATAGATATTTACTTAATGTATGATATATCATATTGCCTAAGAGCTGGCGCAGTTTATGGTTTAAATTGTCTTGTTCAAGTGGGTATACAACCGTACAATGGGTTATTGTGGACTGTGAGACACATCTGCTGGTTTCTCAGTACATCTTTAGTCATTTAGCAGAAACTGTTATCCAGAACAATTTGGGTTAACTGCCTTGCTCAAGGGCACGTCAACATATTTTCACCTAGTCGGCTCGGGGATTCAAACCAGCGACTTTTCGGTTACTGGCCCAAGGCTCTTAATTGCTAGGCTACGGAGGGACACCTCTATATCACAGTGTAACGTAACCTAATGAAAGATAAAATCACCCAGCTTTAATTGTGAGCAAAAGTTGTTATTTTTCTGCCACCTCACAGTTCGGGAAAGACTGTGTAAAAATAACAGATTTATCTGGTCTGATCAGACACCAGACAATGGCAATGGTACCAAAAATCAGAAAACCATGATAGTGTTAACCTGCTTCTAAACAGTAAAGTAATATGATTGATTGAATTTATTACATAATAAAAAAAATTGTACGCTGCTCCAGCCAGAGACAACATTACATACAGTGTCTATAGAAAGGCTATTCCCCCTTGAACTTTTTTTCCCACAGTCATCCTTCTGATTTGAGCTGCAGGACAGGACGGAAAATGTTTAGGGATGTCACCATTAGTCCATTGGTGATTTGGATGTGATGGAAGAAAACTGAGGATGGGATCAACCAACATTTTAGTGACTCCACAATAATGACCTAAATGACAGAGTAAAAAAAAAAAAAAGAATATATACAGAAGAAAAATATTCCAAAACATGCATGTTTATGCAACAAGGCACTAAAGTAATACTGAAAAAAAAACACTGCCTTATAACCTAAAACACAAAGCCAAATCTACAAAGCCAAGGACAATGAATGTTCCTGAGTGGCCAAGTTACAGTTTTGACTTAAATCTGCTTGAAATCTATGGCAAAACTTCAAAATTGGCTGTCTAGCCATGATCCCCAAACACATTGACAGAGCTTGGAGAATTTTTTAAATAGTAATATTGCACATTACAGGTGTGCAAAGCTCTTATGAGACTTACCCCAAAAAATGTACAGCTGTAATGACTACCAAAGGTGTTGTAACGTAGACGCAGGGAGTCAGGAAGCAGGTGCAGTCATGAAGGGTGCCAGGTGTGCGTAATGATGGTTGCCAGGAACGGTGGTCAGCAGACCGGCGACGTCGCCGGAGGGAGGGCGCGGGAGTAGACGTGACAGACACCCCCCCCCCCCCCGACGTGCGGCTCCAACCCAGGACGACGCCGGCCAGGAGGACGGCCCCGAGGGTGAGGAGCGGGCCGGTCCGGACGGCAAGGTGGACATCTCGGATTATGTTGAGATCTAGAATGTCGTCCACCGGAACCCAACACCGCTCCTCTGGACCGTACCCCTCCCAGTCCACCAGATACTGGAGTAGACCCCCACGACATCTGGAGTCAGGAGAGATCTGACGGCATAGGCGGGACCTCCCCCGATGTCCAGGGGAGGCGGAGGGGTGTCATGGGGGACGGCATCAGCCAGGGGACCAGGAACCACCGGCATGAGTAGGGAAACGGAAAAGAGGTGAGATCCGGTAGTAGTGGGAAGCTGTAGTCGGTAAGTTACCTCATTGACCCTCTGAGGATTTTGAATGGCCCACAAATGGGGGCTTAGCTGCCGGCAGGGCAGGCGGGTGGGAGGTTCCTGGTGGAGAGCCAGACGCTTCACCAGGATGGAAAACGGTTGCCTCACTGCGGTGGTGATTGATTGCCTACTCCTCTGGTGGTGGACGGCGTCGTTGGAGCCTCATGTGGGAAGCGTCCCAACCTCCTCTGCGCATTGGAACCCACTCGTCCACCACATGGGCTTTGGTCTGGCTTGGGGTCCACGGGGCCGGCTGGTACCGCAGGACACACTTGGAAGGGAGATAACCCGGTGGAGGAATGACGAAGTGAGTTCTGGGAGTACTTCGCCAAGGGAAGAAGAAACCAGGCCCACTCCTCTCTGCCGGTCCTGACAGTGACACCTCAGGAACCTCCCCAGCTCCTGGTTGGTCTCTCCACCTGCCCGCTGGATGAGGGCCGGTACCCAGACGTGAGGCTGACTGTGACCCCCAGCTTCTCCATGAAGGCTCTCCATACTCGCAACGTGAATTGGAGATCACGGTCGGAGACGATGTCCTCCGGAAGGCCATAGTGCCGGAAGACCTGCTGGAACGGTGCCTCAGTGACCTGGAGAGCGGTAGGGAGACCAGATTGCGGGATAAAACGGCAGGATTTGGAGAATCTGTCCAAACAACATAACAGTGGTGAAACAATCAGACAGAGAAAGATCAGTAACAAAATCTATAGACAAGATGGGACCAAGGCTGCTGTGAAGAAGGAGCTTCCCTACAGGTGCGTGCCAGGGGAGACTTGGTTTGAGCACATACGGAGCAGGAGTTAACGTAGCAGGTGACGTCCTGCGCCAAGGTGAGCCCCCAGTACTTAACGGAGATGGATTGAGTGGGTGCGGTGATACCTGGGTGTCAGCGGCAAGGGATGTTGTGCGCCCAGGTCAATAGCCAATCCCTTACCCCATGGGAACATAGGTGCGCTCCGGGGACAGGTAGCAGGTGCGGGTTCCCTCGCCAGAGCCTGGGGATGTCCCGTCTATGTCCCAAAGCACGGGGGGCAACGATTTGGGAGGGTGGTATGATGGGCGCACTCAGGATCGGAACCTCTCCTGAATCGTGGAGAAGGGACATCGGCTTTGATGTTCTTTAAACCTGGGCGGTATGACAGGGTGAAGTTGAATCTAGTAAAGAAAACCTTGCTTAGCACGAGTTCAGCCGCTCGCTATCCGTATGTACTCCAGGTTCCGATGGTCGGTGAGGATTAGAAATGGGTCCGTGGCACCGTCCAGCCAGTGTCTCCACTCCTTCTAATGCCAACTTCACTGCCAGGAGCTCCCGATCAACTGATGTCATAGTTCTTTCTGCAGGAGACAGTTTTTTAGAGTAGTATGCACATGGATACAATTTTTGTGGATTACTTTGACGTTGTGACAGATGGCCCTCACACCCACTTCTGAGGCATCCACCTCAACAAGAAGGGCAGCGCAGGATCTGGGTGTTTCAGCATCGGGGCGTAGGTGAAACGCCCCTTCAGTAGGCAGAAGGCCTCATCGGCTGCAGGATTCCACACCACCTTACGGGGACCACCTTCGAGGAGAGAGGTGAGAGGAGAGGCGATGGAGCTGAAGTTCCTAATGAAGCGGCGGTAGAAGTTGGAAAACCCACAAAAAAGTCCCTTTATGGTGGTTGGGACTGGCCATGACCTCACTGCATCTACCTTCCTCTCCTCCATAACCACTCCCCTGCAGGCTGATCTGATATCCCAAGAAGGAGACGGCGGTCTGATGGAACTGGCACTTCGCCGCTTTGACGTACAGATGGTTCTCCAGGAGGCGTTCCAGAACTACCCGGACGTGGGCAATGTGCTCCTTCAAGATG